TGACAGTCTGTTTTGTTTACTATCATTAAAAACCCCCAATCTTTTAGTTTGAGTAACCACTGGAATTTATTTAGCCTAAGTTGTAACCACATGCCAAATACTTTCTCTACTTCTATATTTATCATATACGTTAAGCTTAAGTCTTAAGCTACTGCTACCCCCAGCACTCAGAAAAATGTCTGCTTTGCTTGGCTTATAAAAGAAAAAGATCCTTTTAAGGAAAGACACTTTTGTAAGAGATAACACTCGCTTGTTTTTACCATATCAGCAGTGTGGGAGAAAGGAGAAGAGTGGATGGGAATTTTAATGATGGAGAGACATCGCCTTTCTTATGCAAAAGTGGATTTCTAAGTCCGCCCAACACTGTAACTGTTCAGTGAGACGCAGCAACAGTCATAAAGGATGCCCAGGTCTATAATGTTTAAAACATCGCTTTAAAATGTTTTTACGTTTGTTCTTTCCATTCCATTGGGCAGCATCATTGCCACAGCACTTATAAAGTGTTCAGGACATATGATTCCCTATCTTTTCAATTGCTTTTTGCTTAAAACACATGAAGACTTAAGGGCAAAATTGTTCTGAAAGTTGACATACTTTTCCCTAGAAAATGTTCAAGTCCTTCTTAGTCTTTAAAACAGGGCAGCAATCCAAAGCTCTTTTAGCATCTCACACATAATGAAGATATCCTGTCCTTCCACTAATTAATACTTTTATAGAAGGTATGAAGGAGAAGAAGAAAATAAGATGGCTCTGTTAAGTGCAGTGATTATCTTGCTGCTCAGGCAGAGCAGCCATTCCATTTTAAAATAAGCATTTTGGGTTACATAGCCCAAAACACTGGTCTCATTTCTGGGTGGGGGTAGCTCCTATTTGATGTCTAAAGCAGGCAGCTGTTTCCTATTTTGCATTTGGAAGTGACACATCCCTTAAAGAAATGTTGCTCCTGTTAAAAAGATACCAATGTAATTTGAGCTGAACACTTCCAAGTTGCGGGTTTAGAGGTGCTCTGGTTATTAATGGCATGGCAGAAAGTTGCATGGAGGTGAAGGGTCACATTTCATACCCAGAGCCACTTTTAATCTCAAATATTTATCTGAAATTAGAAGCATCAGGAGAGAAAGAAGAGGGAGGTAACTACAACCTGGAGTTCATTAAAGTGCCACAAAGAAAGAGGAACTCATTAGGGAATGGCTGAAAACACCCTTAATTCAGATTTCTGCCACTGGCTGAAGGATGCCTGCAAATCTATCAGGTGAGCGCCAGCCAAACAACATCCTCCAAAAACTTCTCATAAATTGCATTTCTTTAGTAATTACAATGGACACACCACAGAATGACCTTCCTTAATCCCACCTTTCAGGCAGCTGACGCTTTGCATTCAATATGTAGCCCTGGCACTGTCTGCTTCTGCATTCAGTCACAGGCACACAGGGAGTAACACATTTGCTTCTTCATAAAGCAGCAAAACCTCCCCCACACTTTTTTTCCTTTCTTCTTTCAAAAGGAATAGGAAATTAGCTGTGAACATCTAGAAACATGTAGTAACCAGCTCCAAAAGAGGATGCAGAACAAGCTACTTATCACAGTAACAATGATTCTGGAAAGTGTTTCCTGCTGCCTGTACAAAAGTCACTGACCGCGCAGAGTCCTGGAGACTTTCAGTACTCGGTTCTCACCCGAGCATTGCCCAGCACGTCACACTTGTACTCAGGCTATGAGTGAGCTCTGCTGCTCTCCCAGAGTTCTTTACACCTCCCAGCCCCAGGGTCAGAGGAGGCAGCGGTAGCATGACTGTGCAAAACTGTAGAATTGTTCCTGTGGGGGAGTATTGTTCTATGGGGTAATGGACACCATACATACACACACACTTCTGATCAACACAAGACCTAAGAAACAAACCAGAGAACTTCCACTGAGCCAGGCTGCAGAGTGGCTCAAATGAGGCGTTGAGATTTGGTTACAAAGAGGAACCATACCCATGGCATGAGGCCTTACACAGGACTCCAGGTGTAACAGGGTAAACATTCCTGACAAGGGTAAACACCCAAAGGGCAAGTGCTGGGCCTGCCTTGGTCCTGGCAGCGTATGAGGAAACACAACTGTCTCATAAGCTTTTGCACAGCACAGTCCAATATACTGAACATACAGAACTATCTTGAGACATAGTGGAATACATTATGCAGGACATTTCACTTTGGAAGGTATTAAATGAAAACAGCATCTCCCTTAACGTTATTCCCAATCATTAAAAGTTTCTGGCTTGCCTCTTACATGCCTCACTCCTACCAATAAAAATGCCCAATCTTCAGTGCCTGGAGCAGGACTCCAATTTTTTCAGCTTTCTCTGAGCTTCCTTTGGTCTGAGCCTCACCTATTCAACGGAGGCAGTCTCTAATAAAAAGATTAAAACTCACTGAAACCCTCATGCAGTGTTCTAACATTCTCTAAAATCTGTATTACTTGGATGTTCTTTCAAGTTTAGTATGCCAAGGAGTTGAATGCTACCAGATTTAAATGTCTAGAAGTCAAAGTCTGTGATACCAGACCCTCCTACAGCCTTACACTCTTCCTCACAGCCCCTTGCTCTGCCATGACAGGTAATAAAACATTTTACTGGGCTTTGAAAGGATAACAAGAGTGCTCTGAAAGACCCCTCCTAAGTGATCTGAACCAGAGCTAATAAAGCTGAGGTGGGCTTATTAAGGACAAGCCAGGCAAAATTTAAATTTTTTTGCATCACTTCCTGGGACAAAGATCTGCAACTTTAACACACATTCCTCTCCGCCCCTAGGTTCTTCCCTGGTGCATGATACTTAGTCACCTCTTAATGTACCAGCTGGTACAAGGCCTTATGGAGTGCAGGGATTCGGCCCTCCACAGAGAGAAGGAGCACAGGCACCAGAAGGAACAAAGCTCAGCATCAGGAGGCATGGCAGTTTCTCTCTGACAGATGGAGTTCAGCAATCTTATCCCTCCTGGTTTCTTGCTGTAGCTATTGGACTATGAGGTCCTGGAGTTGTTTATGCCAACTGTTCCAGTGATCCCGGAGCACTCTGAGGAGTTCCTGCTCTATCTGTTCATATTTTGCACCAACAGAGCAGTTTCCACCTGCGGCTATGCTCAGGCTGACCAACGAGCTCTGCAACTCGCGGCAGCTAGTCCCAGTGATCCATTGACTCAGACCTGGCACGGAGAGTGAGGAAAGGATGTTTAGGTCAGTGAAAGGAAAGAGATGATAATACAGGAATGCACCAGGACCAAACACCTATTAGGGAGCGAATGTAGTGCATTTGTGGAGGGGTATGGTCAATTTAATGGTTATTCCTGGCTACAAAGTTACCATGGGTAGTATCAGCACTTACATGAAACATCTGAAGGTAAAAATCTGAGTGAGGACAGAGAAAGAACTTAGAGTAGGTAAGAGTAATTGAAAGATAAAAACCCCAACGTGGCAAGCAAACCAAAACAACGTGCTATGCATGTAGGAAAAACAGAGCTGAGGACACACTCAGAAAGTCCAAACATGATAAGGTAAAAAATGTAGTTGCAGCAGCTGGACAGCCCTAACTTCCGCTTGACAAAAAGCCCTTCAACATGCTATTTTAAGATTATACTATTTTCACCTTTTCTGATCCCAGATAGATTATATTTCCCAGTAAAGACAGCCTCCATGCTCCTTTCTGGAGGGCTGTCGGAAGAGCATGAGCTGTCCCATTTTGCATCTACATTAATAACTCAAAGCATAGCATTATCTCTGTTTTTCCTCGGTTTTCAATTCCAAGGTCGGAGATAAGGGCAGCATTTTCGTGGATTCCCTCTCTCAGATGACCGGCACTCTGGTGACAATAGGGCTTTTTCTCCAGGATTCTTCCTGCAATCACTGGAATCGTTCGGGACCCCGGGAACAACCGGGGAGAGCTGCCGGCGGTAAACCTCGTGAGTTGCCGAGAGCACCGAGGCGAAACCTCGGCGGTGCGGAGGCTCCGGCCCCCGGGAAAGCCGCGCCGCCGGCCGGGGGCTGCAGGGGGCCCGGGACCCCCCGCCTTGGGCCTGCCGCCCCCCGGCCTCCCTGGGGCCTCTGCGTCCCCTCCCGCAACCGGCAGCAGCATCCTAAGGTCGGGGGCGATCCGCCGCCCGCCCAGGTCACGGGCGGGAGCTACGCGGAGGAGACGCCGATGTCTGGGGCCAAATGACCGGCCTCTCGCTGCGCCCTGCGAAGCGAGGCAAGGCCAGAGCCCAGCTCCGCGGCCCACCCTCGGGCCGCCGCGAAGGGCCCCACACCAGGGGGGCCAGGGGGCGCGGAGCCGAGCCCCGCCGGCGGCGGCGGCACGTCCCGGGGCGGGGCAGGCAGTGCCGCCCACGCGGAGCCGGGGAGGAGCTGCCGTCGAAGCCGCGGGGAGAAGGGGGGAGGGGGAAAATGGGGGGCGCTGCCGTGGGGGCTGCCACGTGCGGGGCCACGCTCCCAGGCGGCTCGACCTCCCCCCCGGCTCCGACGAGAAGCCGCCCCGGGCCCCCGCCGCCCAGCGGGTGAGGCTGGCGGCCGCCGCCACCACCGCGGCCCCGGCGCCGGCAGGGGCGGCGATGGCGTCGCCGTCGGGCTCGGGGCGCGCCCCGACGGAGCGGCCCGCCGCACCGGTGCGGCGCGGCGCAGACCCCCCGCTCCCTCCGCCTCGCTCCGAGGGGGCGGAGGGCAGGGCAGGGCGGGGGCTGGCCGGCTGCTGCCCCACGCGGCGCCCGGGCTGGCGGCGCCCCCGGCGCGCTCCCCGCGCACTCCGTGCCCCTCTGTCATGCTCGCCGCCTGGGAGCGGGCGGCGGGCTCCTGTGCCGGCAGCCGCGCCTCCGAGCCCGCGCCGCCGGCGCTGCCCTCGCCGCCCGCCGCCGAGCCCCGTCCCCGCGGGTGGCGCGGCGGGGCGCGGCGGAGCGCGGGCGGCGCTGCCCGCCGCCGAGGGCTGGCTGCTGCTGCTGCCGCCGCGACAAGCGGCGGGTGGCGGCGGGCGGCGATGGGCACGGCGGCCGTGCACCTCCTGCTGCTGCTGGGACTGCTGCACGCCGGGCCCGGCGGCGAGGGCAGGAAGGGCTGGCGGCGGCGAGGCCCGGCGGCCCGCGAGCGCGGCGAGGCGGCGGCGGCGGCGGCCGCCGAGAGCTTCCCGTTGGACTTCACCGCCGTGGAGGGCAACATGGACAGCTTCATGGCGCAGGTCAAGAGCCTGGCGCAATCGCTGTACCCCTGCTCGGCCCAGGCACTGCCGCACGACCTGCGCCTGCATCTCCTGCACAACTCCTCGGTCACCTGCAACGACGGCAGCCCGGCTGGGTGAGTCCCCGAGCCGCGCCGGCCCCTCCGCGCGCCCCGGGGCTGCCCCGCGCGGCCGCCGGCGCTCCCCGCGGCCCCGGCCCCGAGGGCTGCGGCGCCACCGCGCGGCCGCGCGCGGCACCGGCGGCGACAGGTGCAACGAGCGCCTCCCGGGCGGCGGTCCCGGCGCTTCCCCGGGCGGGCGGGACCGGTGCCGGTGCCGGTGCCTCCGCCTCTCCCGCCGCCTCGGCGCGGCTCCGGCCCGGCGGCACCAGAGCGCTGCGGCCGGGCCCGGCTCCCGCTCAGGCGCCGCCCCTTGTCTGTGCCCGCAGGTACTATCTGAAGGAATCCAAGGGCAGCCGGCGGTGGCTGCTGTTCCTGGAAGGTGAGCGCCGGCGTCCCGTCCCCCGCAACGGCGACCGCGAGCGGGGCGGCGGCCCGAGGCTGCCCTCGGTGCCCTGACCCCCGCGGGCTGCCTTCTCGCGGCCATGGGAACCCGGCCCCTCGGGGCCGCCTGACCCCTGTCCCCTCGCCAGGAGGATGGTACTGCTTCAACAGGGAGAACTGCGACACCCGCTACGACACCATGCGACGGCTGATGAGCTCCCGGGAGTGGCCCGCGACCCGCGTGGGTGAGTCGCTCCGAGAAGCAGCCCCGAGGGACCGGGGCCGGGCCGAGGCAGGTGCCCGGTCGCTGCCCCGTGATGCTCCCACGCCGCGGGCACGGGCAGGCATTTGGGTGCACAGGTATCGCCGGTACTGAGTGTTGTTCTCTTCACTCTCTCTGCTTGTTCTCCAGCCGCCTGGATACTCAAAACCAGATCGTTTAATAGCATATATTGGAATTCACTCGCTATGATTTGTTTTTTCGGAAAGTGTTTAAGTAGGCATCACAGGTCTTTTCTATACTGTAAGAAGCTTCTAGACAGGCTTCATCTGTAGCATGAATCAAATTCTCAGTGTCACATCTGCCTAAGGGCAAATTTAGAAATGTTCCTTCCACTTCCCTTACCGATGTTTTTCATCATGAATGTTTGTTTCCTGTGTGGTCAGAGGTCTTGCATGAGGCTGATACGGTTCCTCTGAAGTCACAGACTAATCTGTACGTTTCTTGTTTCTTTGTGCCCATCTGCAGGAACTGGGATCCTGTCCTCGCAGCCAGAAGAAAATCCCCACTGGTGGAATGCAAACATGGTGTAAGAAGGGACAACGGAGGGAAGTAGCTTTATACTTAAACAGCATCTCCTGCCTTTTAGGCTGGTAAAAATGCTGCAGGGATGGGTTAAAATTAATACTTGGGACAGGAAACTGTGTGTTTCCTCATTTGATGTAATTCAGCTCTCTAACAAATAGGGCTGCAAGGTCCAGAGAAACTTTAGTTCAGTTTCCTTAGGGTCGTGGGGTGATCTAGTGGAGAAAAACTGGGGATATCCTAGAGAGCCTTCTCAAATGGCTGCAGTGGCAAATCTGTCACAAGTGGTGGGCTGATTGTGTGTTACACATCTGCCAATTTGAGAGGAATGTGGAGCAGCTCTCTTAGTTCAAAGAGAAATGAGAGAGACCAGTTAGTATATGCATCTGTACAGAAGGGATGTTAATTTGTCTCCTGCAAGACGGGGAGACAAAAATGGGAAGATAATTCCTTCAAAAACTTTCAGTGGTTGCAGTCAGAATTTATACTGCACTGACAAGAGTCTTCTCATTTTCCATGTGAAAAACTGAAGCATAGAGAGTTTCCCTGTGGCAGACCATCCACCATGGGATAGCTGAGAGAAAAATCATGGCCCATCGTTCTGTCTCCTGAGCTCAGTGCTTCAATTAAATTGATAAGAGACATTTATTGTTTTAACTCAGTAAAACTACTACTATTCAGTAGAAAATTCAAGGCAGTTGTAAACGTCACTTGTTTTACAGGAAGGTAAGTTGTCAAACTGGACAGAAACTCTTCCTTTTTCCTCTTCCCAAGGTTTAATTTTCTTCCAGTTAAGTGACCCCATCCTCACCCCACTGTGCCTGTCGGAGGCACAGCAGGACTCACACAGCTCTCTCTTACAGATTCATCCCGTATTGCTCAAGTGATGTTTGGAGCGGTGCCTCCTCCAAGTCTGAGAAAAGTGAGTGTTGCTGATGGGCTGTTGCTGCCCCAGACATCACACATTAAAGGATGTGGCCAAACTTCTGTGAAACCACATGGATGAAGAACAGGCTTTTTCTTGCTGAAGGGCAGGAAAGAATATCAAGCTACTTCCAGATAAAACATCCTGATCTCTTTAGCTCAGGCTGTGTTGACATAGTTCAGAGCCACTGCTTGCAGAGATGTTACACTGATCCAGTATGCGAGGATTAGGAGAACAAAATTCCTTTTAGATGAATCTCCAGGTTCTAGCACACAGCAAATTAATTGGTGTAGCTGAACGACCGTGGCCTGTTGCATGTGACTTTGGTGTGGCTTACCTGAGAGGAAGGACTGTGAATTTAGTATCAGACTTTAATCAAGAGGATATTTGGCCTTAGATAGGAGCCATCGTGTGTCAGGCTAAAGCTGTCTGCAGGTTTCTTGGGAATTAGAGAATAGTTCATATTAATACATGCATTGCCATTGGCTGTCATTCTGTTGATGTCACAGGTACCTTTTCACTTCATCCCAGTTCCTTGGAGCTGTTCCTATGGAGCAGTTACACATCAGTAACCATGGCTGCTGGTGGTACCTAGGAAGTGGTGTCTGTGTAGGTGTAACACTTAGTGAAGCATTGCTTGTCTGAAGTGGCTTGATGAATGGGGAAAAAGGGGAAGCAGTAAGTTGGAACTGAGATTCCAGGTGGTAGAAAGGTGTGTGTGTTCCTCCTGTATGGAGATAGGGTCCCAACACCTTCTTTCTTCTTTACCTTCTCTAAGTTTACTCGTTTCTAAGCGCTGTTGTAGGAAGGTACTTGTGTAATTGTGTGTTCAGATCACTCTATTCACTTTCTTTCAGGGAAGCAAGTTTTGTACGGGGCAGGGAGAGTCTCTTGTTAGGTGTACTTGGTACAGGTGGATAAAGTGAACCTGGGTTTTGGTTCACAATCCCTTTGGAAAGTTTTTAAGCGTTTTTGGAGAGGAAGTAAAAGTCTGAGCCTGGGCAGAAAACAATTTTGTTGACACTGATCTGTCTCTTCCAGATGAATATGCCTTCATGGGAGCGCTGATCATTCAGGAGGTTATAAAGGAGCTGGTAGGAAAAGGTCTGAGCACTGCAAAAGTGTTGCTGCTAGCGGGGAGCAGGTGGGTATCCACAAGATTCTCTTTGGCGAGGACAGGAGATTTTCACAGGAGAAATTTGTTAGGAAATGTTGCTTCTAGGACTACAGTAATGCTAACATAGCAAACCCTGTATCTCTTCTCAGTTTTCTCCTCTAAGAGGTATAATAGGGGATGGTACAATATTATTTCCACAGTTTTTGGTCCAGATAGAACCAGAATAGAAATAGAAACCAGAGAAAATAGTAACAAGGCAAAAGCTTGCAAGATAACAAGATAAAAGCTTTGTGTTCTGTGCATCAAGAATGCTGGTTCCTGCTGGCCCACATCATGAGACACTCCTGCTGCAAACTGATTCAGGACACCAAATTCAAAACCAGACTTGCCTCACATAGGTGCACTAGATCGTCCTGTGTTGCTCTGGTACACTCAGCATATGTTACACAGGAGTATAATAGAGAAGCTGCAAAAGGTGAATTTGTCTCACTTCAGAGTCTTTCAGTTTTTGAGCAGCCAATGCAAATGATACAGACACATGTATCTGCCAGAAGAGATAATTACAACAGGACTTGGTTTCTGAGGTACCAGATTGTTACTCAGCACAGTTAACTTTATTTGTGAGTGTTTTGCAAAGCAAGGAGATAACGTGGTGACTACCAACTTCATGGTGAATGGTTGGGGAGCTCTGCTGTGGGTAAATGAAGGTGTTTATAGTGTGTCACTGCTGGCCAGGTGTGTAGCACCTGTGTGTGCCTCATGACTGCAGTGTTGATGTTGCTGTTGCAGTGCTGGAGGGACAGGAGTGCTCCTGAACGTGGACCGAGTGTCAGAGCAGCTGGAGGAGATGGGTTATCAAGGGATTCAGGTTCGAGGTTTGGCAGACTCTGGATGGTTCTTGGATAACAAACAGTATCGCAGAACTGACTGTATCGATACCATAACGTGTGCTCCAACAGAGGCCATCAGAAGAGGAATAAGGTACAGTCAGATACTCTGAAGTACACTGCTGTAGGAGGCTGGATTGTGGAGAAGATGTTCTCCTTCTCTGTCTTCTTTCATTTTGATAGTTAAAGAGTATTTATCCTCTACATCAGTGGTTTTTCAGTAACTATTGAAAAAGACAATAATGTAAAATCTAGACATGTAAAAGAACACGTGCAGTTGTAGGTGCTCTAAAATGTGTTGATGGGACAATGTAGCCAAGGGAGAGGTGTGCTATCAGTTGGAACTCTAATCAGAACAGAAATAGACAGCCTAGGAGAGGCAGTTGTTAGGATTGCCCTGTGCCTCTCATTCTGTTATTGCTTTGTTTCCTAGATACTGGAATGGCATTGTTCCCGAACGCTGTAAGCTGCAGTTTAAAGAGGGAGAGGAATGGAATTGTTTTTTTGGATATAAGATTTACCCCACTCTTCGATGTAAGTTTCAGAGGAGATATAAAATGGACTCTAAAGTTTCCTCTGTATCCGCAACTGTCTTGGAGCAATCTCTTTTTCAAATTTTTTGTCTTCCTAGGTCCAGTCTTTGTTGTCCAGTGGCTATTTGATGAGGCCCAGCTTACTGTAGACAATGTACACCTCACTGGCCAGCCTGTTCAGGAAGGGCAGTGGCTCTACATCCAGAATCTGGGTAGGGAGCTGAGAAACACCTTGAAGGATGTGACGTAAGTGTTTCATTGAGGAAAATCTGGCACATCTGTTTCTAAGGGACATTCTTATCCAGTGTCCTGGTATTGTTTCTCAGATGTCTGCTGCAAAAAGAATGTTTAAGTTTGGTAACTGTTAGCACATCCACATCAAGCATCTTTCATTTCTGGGTAAAATTCCATCTTCTCCCTAGTCCAGAATGTTCTGTTCAGCAGGAGTTGCTTTGTCCTTCAAGATATAATCCATGTTTCCTTTCTTTCTTTAGTGCAAGCTTTGCTCCTGCCTGTTTGTCCCATGAGATCATCACACGCAAGTGAGTTCTTGTGCAGGTCCTCTGAGAGGTGAACAGGGACGTGGCTGGGGAACGAGCCCATCCTGGCATCCTCACCCCTCTGATGAGACCTGTGTGGTTTGTCTTTTCAGTCACTGGACTGACATCCAGGTGAAGGGAACGTCGTTACCCCGTGCCTTGCACTGCTGGGATCGGAGCCTGCATGAGAGCAACAAAAACGGGAAGGCCCCTCTGAAAGGCTGCCCAATTCACCTGATTGACAGCTGTCCATGGCCTCACTGCAACCCCTCATGCCCCACAATCAGGGACCAGTTCACAGGGCAGGAGATGAATGTGATCCAGTTCCTCATGCATATGGGGTTCGATGTTCAGAAGATGGCACAGCAGCAGGGCCTGGAGCCCAGTAAACTCCTGGGGATGCTCAGCAGTGATAACTAGGAAGGGCTTGTCATAGGGGCAGAGATTAGATCAGGAGGAGAGAGACTCTCAGCCCTTCTCCCACACTTTCTGATCTTCTTCCTTGCACTCCTGCAGGCAGATGCACGCTCACATCCATGCACGCTCACACCTGTGCACACCCATGTGCTCCCACGCTCTTGCACACTTTAGGGTGTGTCAAGAACAAAACAAACAAAAAAGCAGTTTCTTGCTTACACTGTTTGGCTGGAACTCATTCCCTCCAAACTCCAGGGCTGAGTTTCAGCCAGTCACATCCTCTTCCTGTGTTACACAAGGCAATCGGATACAGGGAGTAGCAAAGCCATAAATAGCAGCGATGAGAACCTTTCCCAGATCTGAGACGTCTTCCCTTGCCATGAATTTTACATCATAGACTTTATACAAGTGGTGTAAAAAGCAAGCACTGGATTTCTTCTGTCCAACTAGAAGCGAAGGAGTGATTACATGGTTTCCTGGAGGTCAGCATCTCGTGCTGAGTCACAGTATACAGACCCAGGACACGTGCTAGGGATGGACACTCTTGTACTCAATTTATTCGTATTATTTTATAAAATGACTTTTTTATTACTTTTTTTTAACTAAGCAAGAAATATAAATGATATTGTTTTGTAACATATTTTTTTTAAATAACGAAGAAACCTCTTGCTACTTTGGCAACGTGGGCATATTTATTTTAATGTGTAAAATGCTATTTATAAGGGCTGACCAGAGAAGCATGCCTATGTCTTTGTAAAGTTGTATATGCTGCTCATTTGGATGGGTTATCCTGATGGTCACTTGTACCTGGGAGAGGGCTAAGGGTGGTGTTGACAATTTTTTATTAATTAGATTTCTGTGTTCCCCTTGCAGTGTTCCTTGTCATTGTTTCTCTGATGAAGAGGTTGTAACATGAGGTTTAAATACAGAGACTTTCACCCAGCAGACTTCCACAGCGTTTTTGGCTTGGCTGTGATTTCCCAGGTACTCCAGGACACTCCACTGGATGGTGCAGGGAGATCTGGCTTTGCAGTAAAGACCTGTCTTCCAGTGAGGGAAGTGTTTGATCAGACTGTCAAAAGCATTTGGAACAGAAAAGACAGCACAAGACAAGCATCAACATATTTCTCTTCTTGTAGTCATTTGGGAACACACCCACTTCAGCACAGAGAATGCCCTTTGATGGCAGGGGGAGGAAAGCAAGAGAGGGATTGGGAATTTGTAGAGGAGACCATTCCTGGGGTGGGAGTTCCCCCCTGCAGCGCAGGGTGTGGGGAGACTTGCATGAGGAGTATGCCTTACTCCCTGCTGCAGGAGGTTCTGGGACCAACTGTGTGTGGTTACACAGTGTGTAGGCTACAGAGAATTTGGGCCTTTTTTTTAGAAAAATTTCCTGCGCTTTCAGGATGGACCTTACAAGGTTAGAACGGTGGTGCTGTTTGTGAGATCCCTTGTCTTGGGTGAGTAAGCCCCAAGAATGAACCAAACTGTAGGCCTTTGGTTCCTTTTCATGGACTTCAGGAAAAGTCGGTCAGGAACACTGAGGGAATCAGCTGTCCTGTTGTGCATGATGGGATTAGCACATATTGAAGATAAAAAAGTAGCTAAAGAGAAAATGAATGGTACTACCAGCAGAACTGAAAAGCAGGAAAACATCACTGGAGTTTCCCTGTGATCAGTTGGGTGATTACTGATATCCTTTATGTTTTAATGACTTGGGTATAAAAGTAAAATTACCCTGATTATGTTTTTTATTTGTTTTCTGCTATGCAGAAGCTACTGACAAAAGGGCAAGGCTGGAAGAATTCGGTACCATGTGTTAGTGCTCTAAGATCTTGCAACTAGATGAGATTTTTTTGTCTCAGAGGGAAAGTGCCTGTGGTCCATTTGGTGCACTGCTCTGCTGGTGTGATTTTGGGGACCTTTGCCTTTCTGCCAGCACTGCCTTCAGCACTGAGGGCTCTCCAGAGGGCACCACTTCCCCTGGCATAGCAGAACCTGAGCAGCAGGACCAGCTCTGCCCCCTGAGCCCAGCGTCACTGATTGGTCATGGAGTGCAGGCAAGGGGGGATGTGTCCTCAGGTGGGCTGTGACATGGAGTGATCTTGTGCTCTCTGCTGGTCCCTGGGCAGGAAGTAAGTGATGACCAGGATATGCCACAATACAGTCAGTAGCACACTGCCAATGAGGCCTGGAAAACTACTTCTAGAGGTGAAGAGAGAGTCAGGAAGGGCAGGACTTTTCAGGGGAGAACCTCATCACCTGGAGCTCCTCTGCTGTCCTGCTGCATTTCCTGGTTGTTGTGATGTTAATTGTGCAACTTCCACCCCAAATGAATACAGGTTTTGTACTTTTAGCACCAGAGGTCTTAAAGAAAATGGGAGGGACTTGAATGAAAGAGACGCTGAGGTTACAAGACAGCATCAAAACTGAAGGTAGGCACATTTTAGCCTAAAAGCCACAAAAACTGTACTGTTCTTAGGTGAACTATTCCATAAAGTTATCCTGCTTCCACACTGGGAAGAGCACTGAAGGTGAGGAGTCAGCAATGCTGCTGTGGGGTAAGGGAGGAATTTTTCTACTCTGTTGTAGTTTTCATTTTTCCCATTTTGAAACTATATCAGAAATCTTCTTCTGGCCTTTTAGAGTTAGAATTAAGAGACTTCTAGGCAGAGACAAAGTTTCAGGCATTGTATACCAGTCGCAGCTCCCTGTGGAAGTTTTGATCCCACAGGAGGGAGGGTTTGACACTATATATTGAAATCTGTATTCCAAAACAGAGCTAAGACTATCAAAGCAACTTTTTTTTTCTTTTTTACTTTTTTTTTTTTTTTTTTTTAACAATTGTATTTGGTTGTGGCATTCAGAGATACAAGAATAACTGGTCTCCACATAAGTAAAACAGAGACAGGGATGAGTTTAAGGAAACAGCGAGGACTGGTGCGCTAAACCTTCACAGCCACAAGCTCTCACTAAGGCTCAAAGCACAGCAGGTAAATGTATCGCTGCTCCAGATCTACTGCAGCAAAGTGAGTCAGCTTTTATTCAGCCTCTGGCCTAAATCCTTTCTTTTGTAGGGTTTGTGCTGCCTTTGGGCTTGTGCCTCCACTCTTGGGTCTGCGGGACTGAGCTCCCGTTCCTGCAGTGTGGCTGGATCACAGCCTACTGCCAGTCAGCCCCCTCCCTTCAGAGCGGGGGCTGCGGGGGGGGAACGGCAGCATTCCAGTGACCCCAGAGTTTCTAGAACAGCAGAAGGATAATCAAGAGCCTCTGATGGAGCTCGCAGCTTCAGTGTTAAATAACACCAGCTCCCAACAGCTGAGGGGGGGGCAGGACTCATTCCAGAACTATTAATAAAGCCCCTATTTATACTCCAGGTTCCTGCAAACGATGCAGCAGAAAACTACAGCTGCGGAGCTAAAATGGAATAAATGTCAGCCTCCAGGGAAAGCACCATCCTGAGGGAGAGGAGACCACAAAAGGACAGGACAGGGGCAGGTTTCAGACCTGAGGAAGCAGACTGAGCAGACGGCAGCACCCTGAGCTCACAGCCAGTGGGCAGAGCCAGCCAGTCACCTCCCTGCAGCTGCAGGTCCGTGCAGAAAGCTGACAGAGACGTGGCGTCAGAGGCAGCTCCCACTGATGCCGGCAGAGACCAGCAGGATTTGAGCTGCCACTCCACTGAGTTGGGACCAGGTGTGACTCAGGGCAAAGGAGAAAAACCTGAAGAGACATTTGAGGGGGCTTTTGCCTGCGTTGTCTGCTGGACTGGAAAGATGATGGAGAGCACAGGAGGGCCGTATCTAAACACGGCTGCAGTGACCTCCCCCGTTGGAATAGCTCGATTGCTGCAGATGACCTTTGGATGCACCACGTTCAGCCTGGTCGCCCACCAAGGTGGGTTCAGCGCTGCGTATGGCACCTTCTGCATGTTTGTCTGGACCTTCTGCTTTGCAATCACTGTGTTCATCATCACCTGTGAGTTCACACACCTGCACAGCTGCCTGAGTCTTTCCTGGGGAAACTTCACTGCTGCTTTTGCCATGCTCGCCACGCTCATGTCCGTCACGGCCGCAGTGATCTACCCACTCTACTTCGTCCAGGTGGGCTGTTACCCCATCGGCTGCGAGGTGAGAGACTTCCGCATCGCAGCCAGTGTCTTTGCAGGCCTCCTGTTTGTCGCGTACGCTGCCGAGGTTTTCTTGACCAGGGCAAAACCGGGACAAGTCACCAGCTACATGGCCACCATCTCCGGGCTCCTGAAGATCGTTCAGGCCTTTGTGGCCTGCATCATCTTTGGGGCGCTGGTGAACGATAGCCAATATGGCAAATATGTGGCGACGCAATGGTGTGTAGCTGTCTACAGCTTTTGCTTTGTGGTGACAGTGGTGGTAGTGGCCTTCAGTGTCACAGGTAAGACTGCCTTGCTGTGGTTCCCCTTTGAGCGCTCTGTGGTCATCTACACCTTTGGGGCCGTGCTGCTTTACGTGAGCGCTGCGGTCATCTGGCCAGTGTTTTGCTTTGACAGCAAGTACGGCTCCCCGCGACGCCCCAGCCTCTGTGCCAAGGGCAAGTGCCCCTGGGACAGCCAGCTGGTGATCGCCATCTTCACCTACGTCAACCTGCTGCTCTACGTCCTAGACCTGGCGTACTCCCAGCGCATCCGCTTTGTCTCACACCTCTGAAATGGGTCAGAGCTGTCCCAGCGCTGTGGAGCCACCGTGATTGCAGAGGGATGGGCCGTGAAGCAGGGAGGCACTGGGCAAAACCATCAGCCAAACTTCAAGGTTAAGACTGACTGCATTAACAAGTCAATGACCTGGAGCGGGTGGGCTGCAGCTGATACTGGGCACAGTCCACCTCCCCCAGGGTTCTGCCCCACCTGCCTGGTGCCAGCACGAAGGAATGAAGCAGCTCCACGTGCATCTGCCGACAGCAGGAATGCTTGCAGCCAGGGCTGCAGGCTACCGGATTACTGATCCAAATATTAAGAAAGACACCAAGGATTTTGAAACTGCTACCAGCACTTAATAGGAACCAACTGACTGCAGTTAAAAGCTGCATCACGGAACACCAGTCCTGGAGATGAAAACCAATGCCTTGGAGTTTGGGTTAGTTTGGGCAGTGTGGTGAGACATGGAATGCCTGCAAGTGTGGGCAGTCCCAGTCAGGCCGTTTCTGAGAAGAACATCATAGCTGTAATAGTATTTTGAACATTACCAGTCCTTACCCTTCCTCTCCTTCACTGTCTAGCACAGAAAAGGAGTAAACTCAAGCATGTACCTTGGAGGAGGCATGGGTATTATTTAGCAAACACTAAGTCACTACATTTTTTCACAGAAATGAAAATTTGCAAAGCTGGGGCTCTGCTGCTGAGAATCAAAGTGCAGAGCAGAGCCAGTCTGCAAAGTGACTGTGTGTGACCTGCTGTCCTTGCTCAAGCAGCGCAGAAGGTACCTTAGCACATGCTCTGTATTGGTTCATGGGCTGCTGTTTCTTTATACTGATGTCAAGATTCTTTTTTTCTGGAAGCTTAAAGATAAATTCTGGGGAGATAGGAAAAGGAAGGCAGAGATTAATTGATCTCACAGTGCTGCACAAGAGACCAAACTGGGCAGGGAGGAGGCATGGACAGGACAGGACGTGACAGAACTTGCACACAGTGGTAACAGATTGGGAGCGCTGCCCCAGAGCAGCTCAGGTGCAGGATTCCCAAGCCCTCTACATCACTGAGGAGCCACATGTCTTGGACCCATTCCTGACAAAACACTCACTTTGAAGTCTAACACTGCTCAGCTCGGATTTCAGGCTCAATAGGAATCTTTATTTGTTCCAGGGAGAAGCCAGAATGTCCGAGTGCTTGTGCAGCACATGCAGACTCAGCGCTTTGATTAAAATCTCCAGTAGCTGCCTGTGAGAAGCAAGATTTATTTTTTAACCAAATTAAAATAAAGCTGAATGGCAGATGTACACATACATCTCCTGAGATCTGTGTGCTGTCACCCTGCTCTCCACACTTCCATTGCAGCAGATATAGCCCCTCTGCTTTCTGCCCAAAAGCAACGCTCGGTTTATTTTGATGTATGAAGCCTGAACACAGACCCAAGAAAGTACAGACATGGGACAGCTGAGACCTCTGAGCGGATTCTTTGCAGCAGAGTCACTCAGGAAAAAGGAAGGAAACTTACTTTTCATCAGTGCTTTGTGCGGGGTTTGAAAAGCAAAAAGGGAAAACTTGTTGGGACAGATTATGTTGGATAATTCTGTAGTGAGCAAGGACCAAGCTTAGCAGTGGGAAGCATTAGCCAGGAAACAGGGCAAGAATTGGGATCCAGCAAAAAGGGAATGCATGGAAGAGCCTTCCAAGGGGGTTTTCCCTTCTGCAAGTCCCCATGAACGGCAGGCAATCAGGAAGATGTGGTCCAACAGGAGGCTGCTAAGGCAAGACCCAAGACTATCTGCTATAGGTATAAATCTGGAGCTTTATTTCTTGCCACCCAAAAGACTTACAGGTGGTACAAGTACAAAATGCTGATTTGGGGGAGGAAATCCACTTGTGTTGGAGGAGGCAGTTTACAAAGAGCCACTGCACGCAAAGGGACCTCAAGCATTTACGATGTATTCCTGTTAAACCCATGAATGTGAACAGATTAGGCTGTGTCGCTCTTGAAAATTACTTGTTTTTTGTTATTACAGAGCACTAAAAGCCAAGCAGGTGCCTGTGAAGCACCATGGCTTCTGTTATAAAATTCAACCCTGCAAGCCCAGGCAGGTTGCTTGAGGAAAAGCCCTGTCCTACAGGCTCTGGTGTGGCTTTAGGAGGCTGGGAGGGCCAGGGAGAGGGTCCCCAGCAGTGAGTGCCCGCAGGCTGGGGGTGCTTGGCCCCAGATGTGACATTGCCAGTCACTCAGGCAATGGCAACTGTTGGAAAGCCCTTTGGCTGGTAGCTGTGGTTCAGCCAGGCACTGCTGGCTTCTTGCTGGGAAGATTTTGCACCAAGTAGGAGCAGGAGCAGCAACACGATAAAATCTGACAATGACATGGAGTTGATGTAACTTACACCGAGCCAGGGACAAAGAAAGGCCAGAGAGAAACAGGTATGTAGGAAACAATGGGGATAAAATTGAATGCTTTCACAATGAGGAGAAAATAGAATTTAACATGGAAATCATGATCCCACTGACTGGAGGAGTGACAGACAAGTCATTGCCAAGAACAGCATGTTCAGATTTAGCTTTCTCATCTGCCAGCCAAAGACCGAGCAAAAAATGTGAGCATGGTCAAAATGGCAAAAAAAGATTGTGTGGACAACAATCCTTTATTTTAGGAGAAAAAAAATAATAATAAAAAAATCAAAACCTCATGCTTTAGTGGTTAAAACACTCCCCAACCACTGGAAACTATGAGATTGCCCAATCCAGGGCAGAGGACATCCAGTATTTGCTCAGCAGGATTTACC